TTCCTCAGCTCCCAAGACAGTTTTTCCATTGCCCTCTCATATTAAAACATGTTCTTGTAGAACATGTATTGTATCCTCTTCCATTCCACAAAACATGCAGGTCATTTCTTCACTTAAGGCCCAAAGGCATCATGGCCCCAAGGGCACCGCCAGGCCTGACCATCCCTGCCCAGCCTCCCCCCACCTGCCCAGGGCTCAGGACCCCATGTCAGCCCCCCCCCAGGGATGTCAGCCCCTGAGCCAGCAACACTGCAGAAGGGCCCAGTCTCCAGCTCCCCACAGCCCTGCCCTCACAAATACCTTGCTCCAATCAATATCCTAGGTTTTCCTCTCACATTTTAACTCACTTTCCTCATCCCATCCTAATTCTTCCTTAGTTCTTCTCACTAGCTTTCCACGAAAATCTTCCTACGGCCTAGAAACCTCAGTTCTTCCCAACTCCTTTTTCCTGAATTTTACCAAAAACCCACATACTCATCATTGCACTGTGTTAACAGAACGTGGAAAATCCTCATAAAATGACAAATCATAGTTTCATAATAGTTTCGTAAAACCATCATGCGCATAGACAACCTCTAGAGGACTGCCAGAGTAAGCAGTCTGTTAAGTATTAGTTGTAGTAATATAGTAGTAACATAAACTTAACATTATTTGATAAATTTGGACCACAAACTGGGAATGATCTTTATTTAAACCATTCCCTGAAGCAGCCTGGCGTGTGGAAAATAATGTGTTAGTGCACAATGAGACATACATAGTATGAGGTGTGACTGAGTAGAGGAAGCTGGGAATAAAACAAGACAGGGAAAGGGAAGAAAAGACTTTGAGTTAGGACTCTGGAAAGTCTTGACTGCCTCCGTGTAAATTTAGATTCCTAAAATTCCCATTCAGCTGTCAGCTGTTACTGTAAACAAGTCAGTAACTAACTGGAGAAGCTAGTATTTCACTGTCTCCTAGATAAAGAAAAAAATAGTCCACCTTGTTTGAAAATGCCCAAAGTACTATGTCTTCAAGGAATGAGCTGCTGAGTCTTTTTCCAGTGCTTCATGGTGTGTACAAGCTGGGCATACCTCAAGATAGTTCACCAGACAAGTGTATCCCACATGTTCTCACAGTATGTCTGTTAAACGTGACAATTACTGAACTTCAGAAGAAGGCCAGTGGATAAAGTTTACCATGTCAGGGCAGAAATTCAGAGGGTACATCACCTGTGTGGCTGGGCATCAGCTGAAACCTTCCTGGCAGATGTAGGTGCACGTTGGATTATGGCAAGTACACACCACTGCCTGTTTGTGCCGTGAACAGTAGTCGCCTGTCTGCTCCAGCCAGACTGCTGGCTGTCCTAAACCTCCTGCCTTAACTGATGCTGATCAGGAAAAGCTAAATTGCTCTTGGTTCTCTCCTAGTAAATCCACACATATTTTTGGAGAGTAATTTTGTTGCCACGCTGTATGATACGAAGAGGGAGGAACCAGGCTTTAATGTGGGTTAAAGAATACCCACTCTGGCCAAGTTAGGCTGTAACACTTGCAGCAAGTAATTAAAAATTAATCAAGCTCTGACAGGAAGTAAGAAGGAAAGAATGAGACTCAGTCTAGCAGAGAGGGTGATGGCCCTAACCTCACAGAATAGAAAGCTTGGTTCTAGCTCTTGTTCCAAGGTCTGCTTGTGTATTTTACACTAAACAGAAACTAGAGTAAGTGACCAAGATCCAAGTATTTCTGCATACTTCATACACAACTCCCCTCACCAACTAGTGAGAATCTCCAGCAATTTCTCACCCAGTTAGCATTTACTTTGACATAAAAATAAAAGCTTCAGCAAGACATCCTTAGAAGGCATGCTGAACAGACTGTGGTGTTGCTGTTAGGGCATTTTAAGAAGGGCAGGGGTATATAACTAGTTGGGCACAGAAGGGACTGCACTTAGACACAGTGCTTTCTAAGTGAGTGCTCCAACCACTCACCTCATGAACTTACCAACTCATATTGCATACCTGCCTCTAGGCCTTACCCATTGAGGCTGTGACTGTCACATTGCTAGTTTTCAAAGTCCTCTCTTCATTATTACTGTTAATTAAGGTTTACTACACTAAAGCCTTGATATCCCCGTATTGGTCTGGCAACGTCTGATTTAGTAGCCCAACAGGAGCAGATCTGCAGAAGCTGAAGTACTAAGGACCTGACATTCACATTTTAGGCATGTTCAGGCTTTCCTGCAGACCAGCTCTAGCCTGATCCTCTGGGTACAACGCCCATTAGTGACTGGAACAAGCTGAGTAACCTTTAGGCCACTAAAAACTGAAGCATACGAACGATTTCTTGGTTTTCTTAAAGCTGGTGTATGCAGCATATGTGCCCACATCAACACTGTTGCACCAGAAGTTCATGGTTCAGGAAGGAAAGTTGGTGTCTTGATTAAGTCTCTGAGCACGCGTGCTAAGAGTCAAGTTTTCCAGAGCTTATTGCCTACGTACTTTGGAAAAAAATTCTGTCTCCTGGGCCAAACAGAACTCCTCAATGAAGATTAGGTGCTGTACACGTGCAATCCTCATCTCCTCTGCTGAATTTGCCAGCACGTTTTACATGAAATAGAAATGGTTTGAAACTTTCCTACTTGCCACAAAGGCTGGGCAGCATTTATTTGGGAAAACAAACAAACAAACACGACAGAATTCAAAGCACTGGGGGAGGGTGTGTGGAAAAATCAGGCGGATTTGATGCTGCCTGCGGGTGTTAGAATTATTGCACCTGCATGATCCACAACGAATTTCCATAGAACCGAGCCTCTTCGCCTGACAACACTCGGGTACGGATTCCCTTCAGGAAAGCACGTTCCCCCGCCTGACCCTCCTGGAGTTTGGCTTCATCTCGCTCCCTTCAGGAAAACACTCACGGAGGAGCTTCGGCAACCCCGGGGCAGCGACCATCCCGGTGTCCCACGGTCCCTCTGCAGCTCCGGGGGGCCGGAGAGGCTGGGAACGCCGCTCCTGAGCTGCCTCCGTCCAGACGAAGGACATCCCGCCGGGACATCTGCGGGGGCCGGGGGGCCCTCGCCCTGAGGCC